GTTGCACCTCGGCTTGCAAAGCGTTGTCGTCGTGGACGCGAGGAGGATGGGGCAGCAGAGCAAGAAGAACGCCTGCGCGAGCGGGCACGTATGGTTCAGGACGAGTAGCAGAACACTTGTGGGATATGCCTGGAGGCCCAGAGCACGCACATTTTTGTGCCATGAGGTCATCTTTGCGTGTGAGAATCATGCTACAGCTCAGTGGGGGGGGGGCATGTGGTCGAGTCCTGTCGCGGCCCTCCGTTGCGCAGCTGGCGCGGGTCTGGACGCAGCACGCACGCCCCGACACATCGCGCGGGACGGTGCGCTTAGGGCGGCCCGTGGGGAGAGATCTGCGATATGGTGGGGGGGGGGGTGAGACGTGTCCGTTTTTGATTATGAGATGTGTAAAAACACAAGAAATAAAGACATTTGCGGTCCCGGAGAGAGCGGAGTTGGAGTTGCCACCTACCGATGACGCGAACTCCCCGAGCCGAGGCACGGACGTCGACGACGGAGGGGACGGGGAGGGTGACAGCGACGTCGAGGTTGACGCAGCCGTATCGAGAGCGCCACCCAAAAGGAGGCGGACAGCCATGGAGGTCACCGAATGCGAACGGCACGATACGAAAAGGCAGGGCGAGGCGGATGGAGAAAGAAGTGCCGAGAAGGCCCCATGCCCATGGTGGAGGGGAGGGACGGGAGGACGAAAGAAGGGCGAGGAGGACGAGCGGCCCGCACAGACCGCGAGCAGACAGCGCCTGCTGGCCATTTCGAGACATTCGCAAAGAACGCTAGCTACATGGGAGGGCTTCGTGAAGGATGGATTGGAAAACATTCGAACAAAGAAGAGGCGACGGGAGGAACCGGCAGAGGATGCAGTGACGTGACACCCCCCCCCCTCACACACACACACACACACACACACACACACACACACACACACACACACACACACACACACACACACACACACACACACGCACACACACACACACACACCGCTCACACCGGGCCTTGCACTTTGAATGCCGTGGGGCTCCTGTCGTTAGACGTGGAGACGCGAGGGTTGCCCCCCCTACCCCTCCCGCGCGCCGTTTGAGGGCCTACCCACCCGCACACGATTTTTCGTTCACCTAGCTTATTCAACATGCCGCGGGGTCCTTTACATCAACGCACCTTTCAAGATTTCAGCGTTTAATAGCGTCGAGAGTCTGATCCGCCGACCCGTCGGCTCTCAGTCCTCGCCGCTCAAGGTCAAGCTCACGTCGGGCCGAAGCCCGTCACTCTCTCCCTAACCCTAGCATTCTCCCGAACCCTAGTGCGTGTTAGTTGCCTCTGTGCTTTCACACCTCGCCCCGTCGTGTCCGTCCCCATTGTGATTGCGGCCGTCCACGACTACGTCGTCTAGAGCGCCACGATTAAAGCTTTGACGACTGTCTTGGCTGGCTGTGCTTCCACCATCACGTCTTTGCCGACAGCCATCCTCTTGCCAGTCGTTCTGCTGGTTTCTGCCGAATCTTGATGCAGACTGTCTGCTGTGAGAGAGAGTTGTTTTGTTTAAATTCTTGATGCAGACTTCCGGGATTATACGGACTTTCCTGTGCTTGAGCACTTGGAAACATCAATTTTCTACACGATTCATCAACAGAGAGAAACCTGCGTGCTTGTAACAGATGCTTTCTTCAAATGGTTCTGCGTCGATTTCTTTTGTTTAAATTCTTTCGTCGTGTGTACCGCGTCTCACCTTCATCACCTAAAAGCCCGCGGTTCCCTTTCGGCTCGGCCGCAGTTGTTGCGAGATGGCGCATGTGGTCTCAGGGTTGTGATGCCGAGCGGGGGTGAGAGCTGGCGAGGTACGTGCACGGCGGAGCTGGCGGGGTACGTGCACGCGGTGCGCGTCGGCGCGGCGGGCCGCGCGGCGATCCCGCGCGTGGCGAATCTGACCGGGGCCGAGTTTGCTGCGTACGACGGCCAGCTGCCCGTGATCGTGGAGCGCGGCTACGACGCGCCCTGCTTGGCCTGGACCTGGGAGAAGCTCCTCGCGGCGCATGGCGAGACGCGCTTCGCGGCCACGGCGGCCACAGGGAAGGACCGCGAGGGGCTCGCCTTCCCCCTTTCGGCGTTGGACACGATGCGGAAGCACGTGACCCCGGACCAGTGGATGTACGTGATGGACGAGACCGTCACCCAGCGCGTGCCGGACCTGCTCCGGGACTGCCCGCCACCCCCTTTGCTGGCGGCGGAGGACTTCTTCCCTCTTCTGCCGGCGGAGGTGCAGAGCTTCCCGGCCTTCTTCCTTCTGGGGACGGAGCACTCGGAGAGCTCGATCCACGTCGACCCCTTCAACTGGACTGGGTCGAACCTCGTTCTCTTTGGGCGGAAGGAGTGGGTCCTTGTGCCCCCGGGGGCGCATGACCAGGAGTTCCGGCCAGCGCGGACAACCAGCGGCCTGCCGCTGCCGAGTTTCAAGTACCAGGAGACGAGTCGGCTGAGCTTCTGGAGCAAAGAAGGGAGGAAGGTCCTGCAGCGGCTCCGGAAGAAAGCCCCGGTGTACGAGGGCTCCATCGGCCCCGGGGAGTACCTTGTGATCCCGAGTGGGTGGTGGCACCAGGCGCGGAACACAGAGCTGACCCTCGCGATTGCCGGACAGACTTGCAACGCCGCCAACTTCCGCTCCGTCATCAAGGAGACCGTGCGCTTCCACGAGCACGAGAACCGCGGCCGCGCGTGGCCCGCCTTCGAGGACCGCGGGGTCTTCGCGACGCCCGGCCCCGTGCCGCCCGCCACCGCCGAGGCGGTCTTCCGGGCCTTCGCGGCGTCGATCCCACAGGACGTGCTTGCCAAGGGGCAGCGGCAGCTGCAAGACGAGATCAGCCAGGTCGAGCAAACCAAGAAGGAGCGAGGGCGGAAGAAGAAGAAGTAGCGGCGGGCGGTTCCACCCGCGATGACGAAAAACCCGGGCGACAAGAGCGGCGGGCGCATGCGCGTCGCGGCGGCACGGAGAGACTATCTTTTCCGTCTATAAGGATACGGTATTTGTACTGCGGCTGCGGCGGAACAAGATTGACTCGCGGAGATAGCGCTCCCCCGTGTGTTTTTGTTGGGACACAAACAGGCTACCCATCCCCCTCGCCGTCGTCTTCACACGCGCGGCGGCTCCTTCAACGCATACCTTTACCCTATCAACGCGGAAAAGCATCACTTCACCAACCCGTCACGCAAAGGGCACACGTAACTCGTTTCGAATCCGCGAGCCTCCAAGATTCCGAAAAAAACGTTTGCAATGATTATTCAGTACGCATTCGATCTCGCCCCAAGGCTCCACAGCCTTGCAACTGTTTTTGTCGCAACCATCGGAGTCCATAACGGTGGCAGCAAAGCCGGTGCGCAGAGGCGTGATTTCTGGTTGGTTTTAAAAATCTCTAAGGCGTGAGCGCGAGTCAAAACGAAGGAAATTTATGCCGAAAACAGCATATAAAGTGGCGTACAAGAAGGCGGACTACGCGCACGCCCTCTCGCGCTCGGACACCGACGTGCAGATGTACCTGTTCGAAACCTTCGGCGGGTGGTGCAACGCGGTCAAGCGGCTGTTCTACCAGATGAAGGACAAGGTGCGCAACAAGCTCTCGAAGCGGCAGCACGAGGACGAGGCGAGCTGGTCGACGCGGTCGTGGCTGTCGCTGCAGGCCCAGCGCATGTCAGTCGCGCTGCAGCTCGCGGCGGCGGAAGAGATTGCGACCGAGCTCAGGCTCGCCGCGGCGTCGGAGGACGCCGCCGTCGCCTAGACTCCCCTGCGTCACTACGTGCCTCCCCGTCTTTGTAGCCTGGCGTTTGTGCCCCGTTTGTGCCGCGTCCCGTGCCCCCGAGTTCATTTTATATTAAAGTGAGGGACAACGGATCCATCCAGAACAGAACACGGCGCCGACGTGGGTCGCGCAATGTAGTCTCGCGCCTTGCGGGGGAGCGGAAAAGAGCACGAGCTGCAAGCAGCGCCATGCACATGTTCTTGCTCCTCGCGCTCCTGCCCGGGCTACCGGCGCTACCAACCGACTCCTGGTTTGAGGTGTACAGGACATTCGACGAGATTGTTAACTTTATGGATGATACCGACTTCACCTCCAGAAATATAGCTGGGCATTCTCACGAGGGCCGAGAAGCGAGATGTGCTCGTGTATCAGTACGGCGATCCTATCAAGCCTGGTCTGCTCGTCCTGTGCACCGTGCACGCGCGGGAGTGGATCTCGGCAATGGCGTGCCCTTGGGTGGCACGACAGCTCGCAGTAGGTGATGCTGCCATTCTGCAGACGTACGCCGTGTACATCATGCCAGTCGTGAACCCGGACGGCTACGCCTTCTCTCACGAAAAGAACCGATACTTTCGCACCAACCGGCGGCCGGGCAGCTACTACGGTGTCGACTTGAACCGCAACTTCCCTCGCCACTGGAACAGCTGCAGCCAGTGGCAACGCTGCTCGTCCGGCAGCGTGGGCGCATCCTCGCAGACGTACCGAGGGCCATCTCCGGGGAGCGAGCCAGAGACACGTGCCGTCATGGCCGTTGCCGACGAGATTGAAGCTACCCGGGTACCTCCGGCTTGGTACTCTTTCTCGACATTCACTCCTTCTTCGCTGTCGTGAGTGGTCGCTACGACGAAGGGTGGTCGGCGAAGGGGTACTCGACAGAAGGCATGACGAGCCTGGCTGGACCTCGCCGACGACACGACGGCGTCCCCCACATCTTCTCGCGGCCGGCGACGAAGCGAAAGATAGGAGACTGACCGAGGCCTTCCTGCAAACGCCATCCCAGTTTTTTATCTACATGCACATGCACATGTGTACTTTGACTCTTCCTTCCTTGCCCCCATCGCCCCACCATCGAGAGTCATTTGACCCCCGCCCCCCCGCGGTCGGTGTGGCAGTCAGCTTTGCTCAGCAAGGCCACCCAAGAGCGGAGACTTCCAACACGGAGACTTCCAACACAGAGATGGGTATCGACACACCATTATGTACATCATGTCTGATTGCTACAAGAGCTTCAGGTCTCTGGCGTAGAGGCGCGCGACACCTCATGATGGCTCCTTTAGCTCCCGCCTCACAGCCGCCTCTTACCTTACCTTACCCACGAACGAGGACGCGAGGCCCGTGCGCCACCGCCGGGCTAGCCACCTCGTCGCTCATGAGGGGCTAGCCTCCTCCCCCGTGCCCGCTGCGCCAGACCCCCACCGTAGCAGAAGATTATGTCCCCCACCCACCGCGGCCCCGCAATCCCCCCAAAGCTAGCTCCGGGTCAGTGGCCGTGCCCCGCACCGGCGGTGCTGCAGTGCTGATGGTCGAGAAGCACGAGACCGATTGCCACGGTGCCCACGCAAAAGGCGGCGAGGCAGAAGACACGCTCGGCGGCGCTTTGCACGCCCTCATACACGCGGGGCATGCACTCCGCCGCGCCAACTTGGAGGTAGACGCCGCCGCCAAAGGCGAGGAGCATGCCCACAGCAGCGTCGTCAATGGACATCGAAAAGATGAGGACTGTGCCCCACAGCACGCCCGTGCCGGAGACGAAGTTGAGGAGGAGGGCGAGAGGCACCTTGAGGCCGCCCTGAGCGGAGTTCGTCAGGATGAGGAAGTCGGAGAGTTCCTGCGCAATCTCGTGGAAGATGGTCGCGGCGGCAATGCTCCAAGCCAGAGAGCTGCCGCAGTAGCGGAAACCGGTGGCTATGAAGATGCCGTCGCAAAAGTTGTGCATCAGGTCGCCGATGAGAACGCCGCTCAAGACGCGAATTCGGGTCGTTGGGTCCGGCGACGGTGATGGACTTCGATCCACCGGGCACGGGTCGTTTGCCTCCACCTTGCGGCAACAGCAGGTGAACAGTAGGCCAGCCGGGTCTTGGGAGGGCGAGCGGCGTGAAGCGCCTTCGCTGAAGGAGCTGGCGGCCAGGACGAAGCGAAGGAGATGGACGGCCAGTTCGAAGAGTGAGGGCGCGATGAAACCGAGCAGGACCATTGAGCCCCAGCGGGCGGTGACAACCGACTCGTCTTTGCTGGAGGTGCCGACGAGGTGGGTCGCCTCGAAGAGGATCAGGTAGAAGGCGGCGGCGAGGAGCGCGCCCGCGGCGAAGGCCGACATGATTATCAGGAAGCGGCGCTCGTGCCGGTGATATAACTTGCGCAGGCCGGGCCCCAAGAAGACAACGCCGGAAAGGGTGATGCAGTTGACAGCAAAAGCGGCGCCGATGCCCTCCGCCCACGGAATAGGGTCGTCCGGCGCCTCTGGAAGCTCGGCAATCGGCTCGACGTTCGCGCCGTCGAGCGTCTTGAGGTAGTGCGAGTCCTGCTCAAACGTGATTGGCAGATTGTCTGCGAAGACGCCGAACTGCCGCCCCGGAACTGCCATGCGGTACGTGGTCTGCCAGACTCCCTCGTCAAAGATGAGGTCGCTGCACGCTTCGGCGCGCAACGTATCGCCGTCGTGACGCTCGTCGCACGTCGAACTGAGCAGCAGCTCTGCCCGGCTGCGTGCGTCTTCAAGAGACGCGACCGTGGTCCCGTTGAGCTCGAGGACGACCATCCTCATGCTCGGCGCGGCGTATGAGCCATCAACCTTCTGGGAGATCCATCCGAGTGTGGGAGCCTCCGTGATAAAGCTCCCGGCCCACACGAGCGACATACGGTGTAGCGGCCTCGCCGACACCTTGTTTGGTTTTTCTTTTCTTGCCTTGTGCGACGAAGTCGAAACGGGACCCTGCCTGGACAGCGCCGGGTTTTGGGCCGAGTTTTTTATTTGAGCTAGACCTCGTTGTTAATAGGAACACGCGAAGGCACACACAACATGACGCCAAACGCACGATTGCACGCTCCGCACCGCACCTCGCACCCGCGCCCGCCGCTCCCCCGATCCCCGCCCCGCCTAGGTGGGAAAGAGATGAGGAGATGGGACAGCGAAGGAGGAGCCCAAACACGCACGTATTGGAGGGTTCAGTTGTGCGCCACGCTGCCCGGCGTTTCTCACTTTCCGGGACAGCCCCGCCCTTGTGAGGCAGGAAAGTGACGGCTACCCCGTACGCCCTGCGGCTTCTACCCCGACGCCGACCGCCCATTCCCCCCTCCTCGTTCCCCCCTCGGCGAGCCGATGACCGTTGCCTCTGCCCTGCGTGCCCCCCCCCCCCCCCCCCCACCCCCACCTACACACACACACAACAGTCACGCTCCACAAACCAGGTTCTCCACGTCCGGCGGGGCGAGATGGGCCACACACTGGCGCTGCTTGCCGACGGCCTCGTTCACCCCTCCGGCGGCGGCGGCACCTTGACATGCAGCGAGTGGGATGAGCGCGTCGAGGCTATCGGAGGATGAGTACGAGGCGTCCAGCAGGACGAGAGGCGGCACGCCTTCTCGCTCAGGTGCGAGTACGACGCGGCCTCCGGCAGCCTCGTACGCATCCGACCGGAGCGCTAGTAAGTCGCCCATCGTGCGTACAGGCGCGAACCGCGAGCACGGCACGAGAATCGCAGCCGCCTCGGCGCCGAACAACTCCAGCACCGCCCCCACAGTGGCCTCGAGCTCGTAGACCGGTGTTGAGGTCTCGTCGTGTGGGTCGACCGTCGTCAGATTAGGCGCCACACTCAACGATATATCTCCTTGCTTGAGCTTCGCTAGCTTCCTGTGCAGCGCCCGCAGGTCGAGCCAGAGGTTATCCGTAGCGCGGAAACGGTGGCGTGACACGTCATCGAAATGGTGCTGATCATTCTCTGGGCATTGCGCCGACGCTCGAAGCAGCAGGCCGCTCGTCGCAGTTCGTCGTGCGAGATGGGCGCCCTCCCTCTCAGAGTCCGTGCGCCGCGCAACCTCCAGTAGCAGCGGCTCGCCCCGATGAGCAAACCACGTGAGCAAGGACTGGTCGAGCGTCGCGACGGGGTCGTGCGCGTTGGAAACAAACGCGTACGCGAATCCGGCGTTGAGCAACTTGTCCAACGCACCACTCCCGCTCATCGCCGATATCACACCGCCGTCGCCCGGCGGGCTCCACTCGAGGTCGCGCCTGGGGGCTGTGCCTAGTCTCCCCCCCTTTCCCCACCCCCTAACAGTGTTTCTCATCTGCGGGGGGGCAGCTAGAGCTGTCAAACGTTAACTTTGGGCCTAACAGTTGCACTATTGTTGGCTGAAATCCTCAACGTTGTTCAAGTGTTCTCCCCAGCCCAGGCTGTTACTGTTTGTTACTGTTGTTACTGTTGTTCAGTGGTCAGCAAGCAGAAAATGCCAAAACCCGGGTAATACCCGAAAATACCTGGGTTTTTCCAGGTATTTTCGGGTATTACCCGCACTGGACGCTGGAGATCGTCGTGGGTCACTGCCAGGCCTTCCTTATTGTTGTTCAGCTGGCCTAACGTTAGCTACTGTTGTTGGGGAGCCCCACTGTTGTTCTGTTGTTACTGTTAACACTAGCAACACTGTTCAGCTCTTAACGTTTGACAGCTCTAGGGGCAGCGGGGAGGGAGGTGTGTGTCGATCTGATTGGAGCGGCCGGGGCGGCGCGGGGAGGGGGGGGCGGGGGGGGGGCGACGGCCGGGGGGCGCCAGCCGGTTGAAAACGGCAACCCCGCCCCTGCCTAGACGAGTACAGCTAAAGAGTACCCGCGGGGCTCCCCTTGCGGGGGAGACCTCCCTATAGCTAGATGGACAAGCACGGCCACGGGGAGCCTTTTATCATACAAAACCGTCATGGCGACGGATCAATACTCGGCTTTAGGCCGCCCCTCTCAGTCTCACGCCAGGCGAATGCGCGATGAGTCCATCCACATGAGCACGGACTGGCGGCAGATAGGACACTGCTCCATCTTAGCGGAGCAATCGGCGCACGCGCACTGATGCCCGCAAGGGATAGCGACGTGATCCTTCGGCCGAGTGAAGCATACTGTGCACGTGGTCTCGCCGCCCAGGGTGGACTCGGGGACCGCTGCGCGACCCGTGTCGAAGTTGGCGTCGGCTAGCGAGAGCGCCGCAACGGGCTGCTCCTCACTCAGCAGAGGGTCGCCAGTCGACCCGGCGGGAGGCGCCTGCTCCTCCGCTGGGCGCCTCGCCTCGTCCTCCAGCCTCGCGCTCTCCTCGAGCGCCGCTGCCGGCTCCGCCTCCTCCCTAGCCGCCAGCGCTGCCTCATCCTCGGGCAGCCCCTGCGCAGCCGCAGCGCCTCCCCCGCCACCCTTCCCCTTCTTCTTCTTCTTCTTCTTGCCCTTCTTGCTCTCCCTGGCGCGCCCCGCCTCCTTCTCCGCCTCCTCCTCCGCCAGCAGCGCCTCGGCATGCCGCGCCGCCTCCGCCTCTGCCGCCGCACTCTCCACCGCCCTCGCCGCTGCCTGCGCTGCCTCCTTCGCCGCTGCCTGCGCCGCCGCGTGCTCGAGAGCGCGCACGCACTCGGCGTGGGCCTCCCTCTTGGCCAGGTGAAGTGCAGACTTGCCGTCCTCAGTACGCAGCGTTGTGTCCGCGCCCGCCCGCAGCAGAAGACGCACGGTGGCGGGGTGGCCTTGGGCGGCGGCGAGCATCAGCGCGGTGCCGCCGAGGTGGTCCTGCAGGTCGGCATTCGCGTCGCGCTGAAGGAGCAACTCGATCACTCGCTCGTGGGCCGTCTGGGCGGCGAGTATCAGCGCGGTCTGGCCATGGATGCCTTGCGTGTTGACCTCAGCGCCGCGCTGAAGCAACAGGTCGGCTACCCGCTCGAGGCCGTTGCGAGCGGCGGTCATGAGCGCAGTGCGGCCGACGCTATCCTGCTGGTTGGCATCCGCACCGCGCTGCAGCAACAGCTCGACCACTCGCTCGTGGCCGCTGCCGGCGGCGAGCATCAGCACGGTGACGCCGCTCACATCTACCACGCAAGTCGCATTGACCCGCCCGCCGCTGTCGAGCCACGCCAACAGCTCCGCCTCGTCGCCTTTGAGAGCCGCGCCCATCGGGAAGGGTGCCCAGGAGCCGGAAGAGGCCACGGTCCTCGCTCCCGCCGCCGCCTCGCCCAAGGAAGCGCCGCCCGCGTCACCCGCTGCCGCCTCGCGCTGGACCGCAGTCACCTCTGCGATGTGCTGCCGGAAGGCCTCGACGCACGCGGCGTGGCCGCTCTCCTTGGCCAGCTGCAGCGCGGACTCGCCGTCCTCAGCGCGCAACTTTGTATCCGCGCCCGCCCGCAGCAGGCGGAGCACGGTGGCGGGGTGGCCGCTGGCGGCAGCGCCCATCAGTGCGGTGCCGCCGTAGCTGTTCTGCAGGTTGATCTCAGCGCCGCGCTGCAGCAGCAGCTCGACCACCCGCTCGTGGCCGTTGTTGGCGGCGTGAATCAGCGCGGTGACACCGAAGCTGCTGTCCTGCAGGTTGACCTCAGCGCCGCGCTGCAGCAGCAGCTCGACCACCCGCTCGTGGCCGTAGCGGGCGGCGGTCATCAGCAGCGTGACGCCGCTCGCATGGCTCGACCTGCTGGTCGCATTGACCCGCCCGCCGCTGTCGAGCCACGCCAACAGCTCCGCCTCGTCGCCTTTGAGAGCTGCCGCCACCACCTCACTGGGTGCTTCCTCCGGCGGCATAGCTGACGAAGAAGGTATGCGCCGCGCCTCACTGGCCCCTCGAAACTCGTAGACCGCCTTCCTCAGCGCCTCGAGCCGGCCCTCGCCCTGCATCACACCGTGATCAATGCCGACCCGGTCTGCGATGCCCTCGAGCTGAGCCTCGGTCTGGCCCATGATCGCCTCGCGCAGCGGGTCGGCGGCGGCGCCCATCAGGAGCAGGAGGAGGAGAGCGCGAGCTGGCCCCTTTGTCGTGGGCGATCTCAAAAAAATAATCGTCCTGCGAAGAATGCGAAAGGAACAGGCAGACTCCCTAGGGTAGGCGACGGCTAGCGCATCACACTCCTCTCCTTAAAATCCCTGTGTGGTGGCGGCGTGCCGTTCTCCCATCCCTCCCTTAACACGCGCGCCCCACCGAAACTGTGGTGGGCGCGCTGCGGCCGCACGTCTACCTCCGTCATAGTGCCACGACGTGCGGCCTAGATTTAGCACACGCGCCTCAGCTCGCAAACACTCACCCATTTGATTGTCACTGTCCGTGAGTGCGAGATTAGGGCTAGCCGCAGGCAGCTAGCCCATGAGGAGGGCGTCCATTCTCGCTAGTGTGTCACTCAAACGCGTTTCTCTGTAGGTGAGCTGCTTGCTGCTGGCGCCAGCTGTGCGACACTCTCAGCCGAGCTCTGAGCCGCTCCTCGCCCCGTGTCGTAGGCCATTCGACGGCTCATGCGCTAGGTTCGCCCATGGCAGCGTGCGGCTTGCCGCGCGTCGCTGCCGTCTTGCTCGCGGCAGCACCAGCTCTGTCGCGCCCGCTGCCGCCGCCCTCGGCCAACACGGTCGCGCCGGGTCTACCCGGTGTCCCTCTCGCCGTCGCCAGCGCGCGCAGAACCGGAACCGCCGACGAAACCGCCTATAGGTGTGCTACGCGCCGAGGCACCGTCGGGCCGGCCACCAGCCGTCGCCGCCACCACACTCGCTGCCCTCGGCTCCGCCGCCCTTGTGCGAGCTGCATCGCTGACATATTAAGCTACGTGTGAGTCACTCTCCGCCCTCGGCGCGACTAGTCAGCAGTAGCGAGTGTGTGCGTCGCTGCTAGAGCCGGCCGAGGCAGTCCCGAGGGCTCCTCGCAGCGACTCGAGCGGGTCCGAATTCACTCGGCGACCGGTAAACTAGCGACGGTGTCACTTTTCAAAGACGTACGTAACACGCGGACTGCCTCCCCCACCGTGCGATTGCCTTCAGTGGCCGCCAGACGTCCGGACCGCTCGCTTCTTGTGTGCAGCAGAGGGATTGCTGGCGTGTGGCGAATGCCGCAAGTGGCTTTGGTGCTCGCGAGCACCCTCGCATACCCTTTCTTCGGCCTAGGGCCAAGCCTCCGGTCCCGTGCCGCCCACATGTTGCCCGACTTGGATGCCTGAGGCACGGCTGTGGCCGGTAGTGCACGAAAAACGAGAAAACAGGCATTTTCGATTTCGCCGACTTTGCCCATTAACCCTCCTACGCAGATACGACAAAATACGTCTGCTCATGGCGCCGAGCCCTGGTCTGGACACCAGATCGGCCCCCCCGCCCCTAACATTAGCCTCCCAGCCGCTCTGTCGGCCATAATGTTAGGGGCGGGGGGGCCAAAATCACGCAAAACCATCTGCGTAGGAGGGTTAAGTTCCCATGGCAGCGCACGAGCACCAGGCCCTCCAAGGAGGCGGTGGCCTGTGCTTGGGCGAAGTCCATGTCTGTGGCCCTTTCCTTCTTTTTTCAGTGGTTAGATCCTCCGGGAATGTACGTAAGAGCGATCCGAACGTGGTATTCGGGTGATTAGATCACTACAACGGTCAAACTCTGAACGAGATGGGATTCCTTGACAGCCATTTATGTGTGTAAATCGCGTAAAGAGGCGGTGCGCTTCATCGCCGTCAGCCAGTACCAGGCGGGCGCCTTCCTCAACGCCGTCCCCTCACGCCGCGACTTTCGTATCCCGACGTGGGCGCTGCGCATCGCCGTCCAGCGGCGCCTCGGGCTACCACTTGACGAGGCGCTCGCGCGGGGCGCGCCGACCTGCTCGGCGCGCGGCGGCAAGGTGCAGGACCCGTTGGGCGACGCGGCCAGCAACATCGGCCGCCTCGGGCACTGCGGCCGCCACAACAGCCTCCTCGCCGCCCTGGCCAAGGTCATGCGGAGCGTGTGGGGCATGCTCGTCGAGGTGGAGCCGCGGGACCACCTCGGCTACTCTAACGACTACCGGCCCGACGTCTCGGTGGCGGGCGCCGGCCGCTCGCGCTCGCGCCTCATCGGCGACGTCAAGTTCAAGGACTCGCTCTCCTCCAACCCGGAGGACGTCGGCCAGCGAGGCGCTTTCGTCGGCCTCGGCAACACCGAGCCCGGCACGAGCGCGGACGTCTTCGGCCTCGAGCAGCGCGGCGCTGTCGGGGACGGCGACTTCAGGCCGAGCGACGGCGGCGGCTATGTGGCGTACAAGAAGGCGGACTACGCGCACGCCCTCTCGCGCTCGGACACCGACGTGCAGATGTACCTGTTTGAAACCTTCGGCGGGTGGTGCAACGCGGTCAAACGGCTGTTCTACCAGATGAAGGACAAGGTGCGCAACAAGCTCTCGAAGCGGCAGCACGAGGACGAGGCGAGCTGGTCGACGCGGTCGTGGCTTTCGCTGCAGGCCCAGCGCATGTCAGTCGCGCAGCAGCTCGCGGCGGCGGAAGAGATTGCGACCGAGCTCAGGCTCGCCGCGGCGTCGGAGGACGCCGCCGTCGCCTAGACTCCCCTGCGTCACTACGTGCCTCCCCGTCTTTGTAGCCTGGCGTTTGTGCCCCGTTTGTGCCGCGTCCCGTGCCCCCGAGTTCATTTCATAAAAATCACAGTTCTTTAAAAAAAAAAAGAGGTTTTCGCCTTGTGCTTTTGTGTGCCAAATCCTTTTGCGATAGGTCCAATCGGGCGGCATGCACGTGGAGCACTTGGAGTGCAGTGTGACTGATGTTCGAACAGGCGCACAGGCGACGCCCAGGCGCGACGCGACCAACTCTTTTTTTTTCTCGCTGTCCTGCAGGTTGACCTCAGCGCCGCGCCCAGCAGCAGCTCGACCTCGCGCTGCGAAACAGAGCCGGGCCGCGCCCAGCAGCAAGGGCGACTCAGGAGAATGGACATCAGTCACAGTCACGAGGACGTGCTTGCGCTCGACAAGCAGATTGAGGAGCTCAAGGAGTGCAAACCGCTCTCCGAGGCCGAGGTGGAAGTGCTGTGCCAGAAGGCGCCGGGCCGCCCGCCAGCGCAGCCGCGCCCCGCCGCCGGTCAGCTGGAGCGGCGAGCGCGCCCACGCCGACTGCGGACGCGTGCGCAGGCGCGCGAGGTCCTGATGGACGAACCGAACGTGCTCACCGTCGCGCCACCGATCATCATCTGCGGCGACATCCACGCGCAGTACCACGACCTCATCGAGATCTTCCGGATCGGCGGGCCGTGCCCCGACACCAACTACCTGTTTATGGGCGACTACGTCGACCGCGGCTACTACTCCGTCGAGACAGTCACGCTGCTGATCACGCTAAAGGGTTCGCCGCCCCACACCCCGCCTGCACCGCTGCCCGCATGTCTCCCAGGGGCGGCGGCTCGACCGCGCTGGGATCGGGAGACACATCTGTCGCGGGTCCTTTGCAAGGGGTTTAATAGCTCGCGCGAGCTACGAGAGAGGAGGGGAGGGGGGAGGGAGAGAGGCATACCCGCAGTCCTGCTCCTGCATGAGGGCTGTGTCTGCCTCAGCGTTCCCCACCGACCCGCCCTCCTCGGTAACGCGGTCGGAAGGACCGAACCGCCGCCGACCGACCCGCCCGCCGCCGCTGACCGCCGCCCGCCGCCCTCGCCGCCGACGCCGCCCGCCGCTGACGCTCGCCCGCCGCCCCTGCGGCGCAGTGCGCTACCGGGAGCGCATCTTTCTGCTGCGGGGCAACCACGAGTCAAGACAGATCACGCAGGTCTATGGCTTCTACGACGAAAAAAGAAATTCCGCGGCTTTGACACGTTTTTTTCTTTTTCGCAGGTCTATGGCTTCTACGACGAGTGCTTGCGCAAGTACGGCAACGCGAATGTCTGGAAGCTGTTTACCGACCTGTTCGACTGCCTACCCCTCGGCGCGCTCGTCGACTCGCAGATCTTCTGTGTACATGGCGGCTTGTCGCCGTCGGTGGACTCGCTCGACCAGGTGCAGCAGCTGCCGCGGGAGGACGACACGCTGAAGACACGTCCACGACACGTCCACCGACTCGGCCACGACATGCCCGCAGGTGCCGCAGCTGCCGCGGGAGGAGGACACGCTGAAGACACGTCCACGACACACCAAAGAGAGGGAGAGAGGGAGAGAGAGAGAGATAGAGAGAGAGAGAGAGAAAGAGAGACAGGGGAGAGAGAGAGAGAGAGAGAGAGAGAGA